GTAGATTGGTAGATCTGGTTGATCGATAGATCTGGTCCTTCCAGGACTGTGGGGTCTAAAGGACTTTTCCTTCTTCCTGACTGGTCCGTGTTTTAGAACATCCAGCAAAGGGAAGCATTTGTCAGACGGTCTGACTAACCAGTCAGGCGCTGTTAGCTATCTGTGATCAGCTGCAGGTCTGATGTTCTTCACTTAGTGAGGCAGGTTTCAGGTCTGGACGTGAAGAACCTCCCTCTGTTCTCTCTGACTAATGATCCCATGGGTCTGATGTTCCTGACCACCCCCTCACGCCGCTGAATCCTCTCTCCTGATCTGCAGCCTCTGGTTTTGAGGGACTGGGAACTCCAAGTTCACTTTAAAATCCACGGCAGCGGGAAGAAGAACCTGAACGGGGACGGACTGGCCATCTGGCTCACCAGAGACCGCATGCAGAATGGTAGGTGGAATGCATGGAGGAGGGGGATGGTGATCAGGGAATCAGACCTCCTATAGATCAGTTGGTTTCAGTTCGTTCTTCATCACTCCTCCTCCTCCTTCCTCTCTTTGCTCTTCTTCAACTCTGGCAGGTCCAGTTTTCGGGAACATGAACCAGTTTGTTGGACTGGGAGTATTTGTGGACACCTACCCAAACGCAGTGAAGACCCATGATGTGAGTAGAAACCCATCGTCCAACTGCAGGCGGACTTCTGCTGGTTTAGATTTAAGGTGAAGGTTTAGAAGTCGATGCCGGTCCGGGGCCGGTCCAGTGACCCTCTGGTGGGATGTGGTGCTGGTTGAGTCAAGTGCTGGCTTAGCTGGTGCCAGTCTGATGCTGGTCTGGGGCCGATCTGGTGACGCAATAGTGCTGGTGGTCCTTTGCCGTCAAACCATGAAGTTGTTTCTCTGGAACAGATCAACCTTATGGTGAAGAACTGTGACGCAGAAGGAAATCGATGTTGGAGTCTGTCTGCAGAAAGGTGATGATGATGATGGTGATGATGATGATGATGATGATGATGAGGACGTAACAGAGGAAGTCTGCTTTAGAAATGTCTTCTCCGTTTAAAGTGTCAGATTCCCAAACACATTGATTACCAACTCTGCTGCCATTTTTAGTGAAACTCTTTTATGTTTAGACCTAAACTCCAACATCATCATCAGCAGAGAGAAGTTCAGAGGAAGGATCATAGAGGCCCAACAGGTCACCATCATTTAAAGACCTTTATTAGATGGAGAAATGGCTGAAAAGTTACGGCTATTCATTGGTCAACCAGCACATCTGCATATTTAAAACTTTCTATAAAACGTTTTTCAAACGCCATAATGACATTTCTACTATTTCTTTATAGACCAAACTATTTAAACCAATGTAATAATTTGAAGTGTGCCTGTAGAAACTAGTTTTAATCAATAAATCTCTGCCATTCAGAGGTGGCTAGCGCCGCTCGGTGACTGAGGGAGAAAAGGGGAG